TTTTTTTTTTTTTTTTTTTTTTGGGGGGGGGGGGGGGGGGGGGGGTGTTGTTCCAGAGTTTAGGACCCATGACTGAAAAAGTTCGATCTCCTCTGAGCATCAAACTGGTTTTTGATGCAACCAAAAGCAGCTGGTCTGATGATCTAAGCACCCAAGAAGGAACATATGGTTGAAGTAGGTCAGAGAGACAAGAGGGGTGCAAGGCCATTTAAGTACTTAAATTTCAACAGGAGAATTTTTAAATCTATTCTGGTATGTACTGGGAGCCAGTGAAATATGATCAAACATACAAGTTCTTGTTAATAGTTGAGCTGCAGCATTTTGGACGAGCTGGAGACGTGAAAGACTGACCCCAACATAAAGAGCGTTACATCAGTCTAGTCATGTTGTAACGAAGGCATGAACTAATTTTTCAAGGTTAGATCTGGTCAACACTGACTTAAGTTTAACTATGGTAAATGGTAAATGGACTGTACTTGTATAGCGCCTTTTGATCTTATCAAGATACTCAAAGCACTTTACACTACAATCTGTGCCTCGTTTACTTATTCATACAGCACTTTACTAGATCTCTACAAAGCTAATTGAACAAATCATTCTAATGAGACTAATCAGTGCTTTTAGATCGCATTCATACACTGATGGGACACACATCGGTGGCGATGAGGGGTTCAATGTCTTGCCCAGGGACACTTAGGCATGTGACTGCTGGTGGATTCGAACCCCCAACTCTTGCTTTGGAGGGTGACTGCTCTAACCACTCAGCCACAGCCGCCTATCTGCCTTAACCGGAAGAAACTTTTCTGCAGAACAGAGTTTAATCTGTTTATTAAACTTAAAGTCAGAGTCTAAAACCATCCTGAGATTTGTAACAGACTGTTTAAGATATGACTGAAGAGTATGCATCAGGATATTTTGAACCACTTTGGCCAGGATTGCCTCAAACTAGTTAGAGAGTTTGAGAAAACAGCAAGGAAGAGGGCAGACTACAGGAACCATTTGCGATTTAACCTCAGATGTCGACAAAGTGGCATCATTCCCAAGAGCCTGGAACTAAAATCTTTGGTCAGCGGGCACCGGGCAAGCAAGATCCTTCAGAAGGCACAGACCCAGCTGCTGAATGAACAGGTGAGACAGACCAATTTTACTATTGAGGCCTTGAAGGCCAAAGAAGAGCACATTAAACAGAAACTAACAACGTGTCTAGATCATACCACACTTCAGCAAGTGATGGACTGTACAGATCAGGCACGCTTAGCACAGCATGTTAAGTCCAAGACTCGACAACAAAACTAGTTTAACGTACTAATAGCTCATCAACACCATCACTATTCCAATAACAACACATTCAGTGTAGGACAACACTCCAGTAGTCAATTACATACCAGGGAGACAGAAAAGTGGGTGAAGAATTTATCTGACAGACAGCTCACCCAGCCAGAGACAGAGATTCTTGCCAGGGGACTGAACTTTGCGGTTGCACCAAGTAGAATTCCTCTGGTGGAGATGATCACAGCTACTGAGTCAGCCATCCGCAACAAAATGAAAGAGGGTGAAGCAGAACAGCTCAGAATCAAAGTTTCAGCCTGCCTCAGCAATGCCAAACCACCACCTTCCAACATCAGTAGAGAGGAGAGGGATGCACTCACCACTCTTAGCAAGGACAAAAACATCATCATTCTCCCAGCAGACAAAGGAAGGTGCACAGTGATTTTGAACCAGAAAGACTATCATGAAAAAGTTATGACACTCCTTAGTGACTTAAACACTTATGAACCTCTGAAAAGAGATCCAGGAAGTGGTTACAAGAAAAAGTTAATAGATTGCCTGAAAATTTTGGAGCAGGACAAGGCTATTGACCGTTTTCTGTACCACAGACTGTACCCAGGGGAGGCCACACCTAGTCTGTATGGTTTACCTAAAATCCACAAACAAGGTGTACCTTTAAGACCAATTGTTAGTATGATTAACTCTGTCACTTACAATGTTGCCAAATATCTGGCGTCTGTACTCATCCCTTTAGTTGGCAGCTCAGAACACCACGTACAGAACACCATGGACTTTGTGGACAAGGTGAGGGATGTCATCATGGAGACTGATGAAACAATGGTCTCTTTTGATGTCACATCACTCTTTACGTGCATTCCTGTTGATGATGCAGTAGAGGTGGTCAGTTTAAAATTAAAATCGGACACCACTCTGAGCAGCAGGACCACACTTTCCACAGAACAACTGTGTCAACTCTTGAAACTGTGCCTGCAGTCAACCTACTTCACATATGGGGAGCAATATTATAGGCAGAAACATGGGTGTGCTATGGGGTCTCCAGTTTCTCCTATTGTTGCCAACCTGTACATGGAGGAGGTAGAAAAGAGAGCCTTGACGTCCTTTTCAGGGACACCACCAAGTCATTGGTTCAGGTATGTTGACGACACCTGGGTTAAAATCAAATCTCAGGAAGTCCAACATTTTACTGACCACATCAACTCTGTGGATAAATACATCAAGTTCACACGAGAAGATG